CCCCAGCCTCTGGAGGCACTAGTTCATGATATTTCCCCATATTTAAGACCCCCCCTCCCCCATTAATTAGATTCTTTACAAGGAAAAGTAATCAACTTTGGTACAGTTCTCTATATACAATAAAATTACAGTTTAATTATTGGAGGGTCATCTTTATATTGTCGTTCCCCATCTTCTCCTGCTTGCCTCCTTTCTTAACCACTGTAGCAGTGGATGTAGCAGCAGGGTTGCAGGTGCATGGTAGCACCTCTGGTCCTGGGACTGGGTCAGTCTCTGAGCCTGGGCTTGGGCTGGTGCTGCCTGGCTGAGTGGGGGCCGGAGCCACCATGTTGGAGCAGGGCCAGGGCTGGACCCATACTTGGCCACTGATTTGTGAATGGGATAGTTGTTTTCAGCAGCATACTGTTTTTCTTGCCTGCCAGATTTTCTGCTAGGCTAGGGGCAGAAGTTGCACACAAACCAGTTGAAGTCATCAGAAACTGGCTTAAACCTGTAATGGAACAGAAGCTCAGTGCACATAAACCAGTTTCAAAATGGCTGAAACCAGTTTGAGATAACCCTGGTCGAATGTAGTATCAGAGGGACTTAACTGATTTGGGTCAAATGGGTTTATAAAACTTCTGTCCCGGACACCTTCCTGGTTCAAGTTAAATCACAGTCCCCCAGCATCCCAGCATGCTTTCCAGTCCTGGGCTGGGCTATGCTGTCTGCTCCAGAGAGCAGGGCTGGTCTTGCCCCTCTGCTCCCTAGCTGGAGCAGTGAAGGCTGACTGACAAAGGGGTGGGGGGCAAGCCTGGCTGGGGATGCAGCCCAGTCTACAGAGGGGAGAGGGCAGGGAGGGAAGACTGCCCCCCCCAGGCAAATCCCAGCTGGGGTGTGGGGCCAGGGAGGTGGGTTAAATACCTTTTCTGCTCAAACATACTGGCTGCAACTGTGGACTACAAATCCCAGAGGCACCTGGAAGCAGGAAGTAGTAATGAGGAACCCTGAAGAGTCCTGCTATTGTAATCCTGGACTGCAAATCTCAGAGACCTTGGGGGCAGCACATAGCCAGAGAGCTGTGCTCTAGTGGCTCAGGCCAGGAGCCAGGGGCTGCTGCAGGCGCGTGGCTGCCTTTCCTGAATCGAAGGTAAATTTCTGTTCCCTTCTGTTTCAGTTTAATCTGTGCAGTTTAGACTAACCTGCAAAGCCTGAATGGATTCAGCCTCGGGCTTTTTGACTGTCTGTACTTAACCCTAAAGTTTCATTGCAATCTGTGGGTCAGGTAACAAGAATAAAACTGCTAGTGTGCGGGTTTTAGAGCATCGGAGCCCCATCCTGCTAACTCCATGCTTTTGTTTCATGAATTGTCATCACAGTAGATGCATCTCCTCTCTGTTCTGGTCTGCCGTGGTCAAACCCTTTTTGTACAGCCAGTGAACAAGTTGAGGGAAGTAAGTCTAATGCCCTGAGCAGGACCTTGATTCCAAATGTCTTCACTTCTGTTTCTGCTTGGAGGCCTCCCACAGAGCATGCTTTGCTGTGTCAAGCTGCACTCTTCTCCAGGTAGGCGCTGGATTGAACAGGTCTGCTAGTGCAGACAGACACCAGGGCTCCACTCAAGCGCGGAGCTGTGCTTGGATTGGAGTTGCCACGGTCTTATCTGGAGCCACCCCTAGAGACGCATCCCTTGCCAGGACTCGAGTTTGACTTTCACTCTTCTCCAAGGGCTTGCAGAGCACCTTTAAAGGGGGGGGGGGAAAAAAAGATGGAAGCTCTTAGAGTTCCGATGTTCATGCCCTGCTCCTTTGAAAGCTTGTATCTGTAAGTGCCACTTTATTTGAGAATCAGCACTCTGAACAAATGGTATGATTGGGCTTTATTGTAATGATTTTATTCTGCTTGTTGACTTGTCATTATCTTAAAGCTACAACAGCTGTGTGTGACTGCCTACGATAAAGATAGAAACGTTCAGGAGGGGAAGCAGAAAGACTCTTTAAAAAAAAAAGCAAAAAAACTTGAAGTTTTTAATGCTAAATGAATGGGGATAAAAATAAAAGTAGTGTTTCTGGTTTTGTTTATACACTGGTTAATGCCTCGACGCAAGCACACGTAGGAGAAATGTTCTTTGTGGAATCTCCTTGGTGTTGTATAGCTTACCTTGCTTTCCTTTCCTTTCCTCCCTCCAGAATAAAATGAGGCAACAAAAATATTTCAGTGTATCATTTTCTACTGATTTTTATTATTTTCACTAATGTATTCAAAAAGTCCTTTCCTTGGTATATTGACGTGACAGTCCTCCTACTCTCTAGTGGATACATTAAAAAAAATCCTTTTATTACTGTAACCTTTGCAGCTTTTAGTTGTATCTTCCTTTTTGCATTTACCTTGCAACTCAGTGAAATGGTGATCAAGCTTTTCCAAACAGTACCTAAAGCTGTGTCCCCAAGTGAATAAGCATTCAAGCAAATCAACTTATAGCATTTTATTAAGTCAAGACTCATGCAAAAACCACCTCCAGAGCTTAATAATTATTTACTGAATGTTCTTGGGTCATGAGAGAGGTTTTCATTAAGTTGGAAATGCATTATGCTCACTAGCTTGTGAAGGTGTGTTTAAAGACGGGGAAAAAACGGAAAAATACTAAATGGTGCACAACTGCTTGCAGAATTTTAATTAAAAAATCCACGCTTAACAGACTCTTGAATTGGCGGGTTCCGTCTTTAATTAAACAATTATGATGCAACAAACTTCTTGTTGCAATCAAAATTTAATTTTTTTTAATCAACGCTTAATTCTTGTATTGCAAACTTTTTTTGTCTCTTCCTGGACACTTTTTGAAGGATGCTTTTTATATTAACTTTGCACCATCTGACAAAATGCACTTGGGGTAGAACACACTTGTTTAAGTGTATTGTTGCAAATATGCCTCGTGTTGGATTTAATCTTAAATGCTGGAGGGGAAAGGGGTCAGAGCAAGAGGAGTTTGAGAAAAGTAAAGAAAGGATTGAAGGAGAAAAATACGTTCAGGTCGGTGACCAAGCAAGTGCCACGGCAAGTGGCATTATCTCCAAGGACATACATCACTGGTAGATGTGGAAACTGTACTGCTGCTTTGAAGTAAAACACTTTGAAATGCAGTAGCAACAAAAAATAGTGTGTAGACTTTATCAGCCATTATAATAGAGTAGTTTTACCAGGTTTGCTGTTCTGTCCTTGGCAGGAAAGGACAGAGCTGCATGCCAAGACCTTTTTTTTCCCACATTGATACTTTGAGCTCTGCCAGCCAATGGGAATGGTGAAAGGAAGTGTCACTTGGTGCCCCCGATCATTTATTAAGGTTTGGAATGAAGTACAAAGTGCTGCTAGTGGAGCACAGCGTGGAGATTTTAGTGTGGGTAACCACAACAGTGGTCTGCCGAACTAAAAACAGCAAGGAGGAGCCTATTTTTTTGTAATCTTTTTTTTCCCCTCTTTTTTTCCATGGGGCACCCTTGCTTAGTTAAGCAGCGAAGCCACTGGCTGCTCATAATGAAACCTCTGCATATACCTTTGTGTGGATTAAGTAATAAGAAGTTCCTGTGAAGTTTTCTTTTTTCCTATGTAGAAAGAAACTGTAAGATGGTCTGTGTAAACTTATTTGATAACTGAAGCTTTATCTTGCTCATATGAAACTTTGCAGGTACATAATTAGACTTTTTTTTAACGTTTGCTTCTGATAGAACCTGTGAATGAAGCAAAGTATTGAGCTGAAAAGCTGCCAGTCTTGGATCTCTTCTTAAATTTTTTAAATTAAGTAACAAGGGGTGCATGAACAATATACGTGGATATCCCTCACGTACTTTGTCCACAGCGCGAAGAAGTGCGGTTACTACATGTAAGCTGCCAAACACCAGTTTTCAGATCTTGCGTTCTTTTGCGCCTGGCTTTCCTAAGGGAACTTCAGCTCAGTTGGCATCTTCACAGTGCAAAATCCTAGACACTTCTGCTGCTTCTGTTTAGCTTTATTTGCTAGCCTTAGAGTCCCTGGCCAGATAATACCTCTTAATTCCAAACCAATTCTTAGTTTTTGGGGAACGGCAGGTTACTTTGTGCTTGTGGTCCCCTTGCTAGCATGGCTTTCAGTGCTTTTAGTGTGGTTCTTGAGAGCCTTCTACCCTGCTCCTGAGCAGTAGGCAGGCTCTGCCTCTGCCTCCTGCCAAGCAAGCTGTTTTATAGCATCTTTTTTACTCCACTCCCATCCCCTCCTCCCAGATTTTGAGCAAGGGCAGTTCAGTCACCTGTCCTGTTCTCGAAGCCACTGCCTCCCCTTTCCCAGGTCTTGCAGGGGTGGGTTACGTTTCAGCCTTTCCAATTTATGTTTGAACAAAATTCTATTGCTCCTTTTGCTTGGATTAATAGATCAGCATGGAGGTATACCATGTTGCCGATGAAGTGACCTCTTCAGTACTTGGATCTCTCAAGGTCATTTAATTTTTTTCCCTCCCCTTAAAGACTGATTCTGTTCATCTCCTGCTTTTTAAACTAAGCTGTTTGGAAGGTAAGGTGCCAGATCCCAGATTAACTCATTGGTCTGAAGCTGTTGTAGGGCAGGGTGCAGCTTTACCCTCCAGCATTCAAACATATGCAGTGTTTTGACACTCCAAATATAACAACAATAACTTCTTTTTTCCCTAGACCAGCTTCTTGTTCTGTTGATCAACTCCTTTTTATTTTAATAGGATGAGAAATTAAATTGCAGCCTTTTAGGGGATCCTTTTAACACTCATGCTCTTTTTCTTTTGTACTAGAACCTTTTCATACTTGCTGGGCACATCTACACATTCATTAATGGGCTTTTGCTACTGTATATTAAATTTAGTACCTCACATTAGAGGTAGTAAATAAAATGTGCATTAGGCTGCCTTAATGTGTGGTAGTGAAAGTGCACACTTTTTAGTGACACTTAATGAGCAGTAGCCTATTTTTACTGCACATTAGTTTATTAGCGTGCTTTTTTGACGTGACACTTTAATGCACAGTAAAATAGCCTCCTGCACATGTGTAATGCGCCTGCTGGGTAGCAAACCCAGTTAGAAGCTGAAATTGCATGCACGTCTCCATGACTGCTCATTTTGAACCAGACTAGAGACTAGCACTGTATTTTGGGTAGGATCCACCCATAATCTAGAGTTTTTCACCTGGTTTCAGTCTGGGGAAATAAAACGCATCAAGTTTTTTGGTTTAAGGTTTTGAATGAATTCACTGCTGAACATCAGAGTTAGCATGTGAAATGAGGGTGGGTGAGTGGGGAGCAGCAACTGTATTTGCTGTAACTATTATCTCCTAAACTTTTGCTTCATATCATGCTTCGGGCAAGGAAAAAGAAATGGAAAATATGAGTGGTGAAAGCTGGGGCTTGAAACTTTGACCCTGTCACTTCTAAATTGTGGGACAAGTTGGGAACTAAAAGTGCATTGTCTGACTTAAAGTTTTAGCTACATTTCTTGATATAAAGAGTGCATGGAGACTTGAGTGATCCCTTTCACATGTCACCTTGCTCCAAGTGACACCTGTTTTCCAGGATCAGGATGATTGAATGATGATCACAGTGATGTCCTTCATGGGTATATCTCTTGGCTAGGTTTTTAGGATTATGATGACCATCTTCCACCTCCATTCTGCTATCAGTCATTTTGCATGCATGGATCAACTCTTCTATAAAGGGCTTCCCAGACTTGTGTGCCCCCTTAATGCTTCACATGAGACAGATGATTAACTAATGTTTTGTTGCAAATTTAGATTTTTGTAAGTGGGGTTTTATGAACACTTGGGGTTCTAGTAATATATAGAAGCTGTGGATATATAACACTTCTTGAGAGGTTTTTTTAATCAGAGAAACTCATCTAATCCAAAACTGTTTTGCAAACCAGTCTGCAAGCAAAATTGACTTGTTATTGAGTAGCGTTTTCTATCTAAGCTGAGAAAAATATCTGCGTCTAAAACCAACAAATTATTGAGAGATTAAATGTAGAGCTTAATGATGTTGTGTTATCAGTAAGAGAGTAAAGCGAAATTTTTATTTTCAGAATAATATAACTTAATCTGACTAGTGTGTTTTCCAAACAAAGTCCATGTATAGGGGGTGATATGTACAGTTACTAAAATCTTCTAAAAAGAGAACAGACTTTGGACTCAATAAAATTTAGTGATTATAGGCATGACTCCATTTAGACTGGCTCTGTATCATGTATTACACTTGCAGGAAGTGCCTAATAATTGCAGTATTGCATATTGCTCATCTAAATACTATATCCTGGGGTTTACTCCTCCTGTGTTTTATTGATTTCATGATCACACCCAGAATACAACATAAGTTTTTTATTTAGTTTGATTTTATGTTGTATTGTGCTCAGTCATGTGGGCCTCAAGAATGAGTGTGTTTAACTCAGTGCCACTTTTGAGAGACCCAAAGAGTCAGTTCAGATGATCAGGATTGCTGAAGAAATGAATTTGCAAAGCCCCTCCATGGTCTGTGGGAAGCTGAAAGCTTGGAGCCAGTTGCACACTTTTCAGCCATCTGCTTTGATGAAGAATTTTGTGTGTTGACTAAACAGATTTTTTTTTTTAATTAATTTTTTCTTACCCTTGGGAGAGGGGAGGACAAAACTTGGTCGAATGTTGTTCAGGGAGAGTGGAGGTGGAGGCATTGGACTGCCTCTCCTGTTTATCACCCTTGCTGTGGGTTATGCTGAAGGAGTGTGCAGATGAACTGTGGGTAGGGTAGATGCTTGTATTTCTTACAAAGCACCCATCCACCGACAGGTTTAGAAAGTGGGATCCATGCGCTCTACCTGCTGCTCTGGACAGATTGCAAGTTGCATTTCAAATTGGCACCAAATACAAAGCTTAGAGGACACTTCCACCCTTAACAAATATTGTAACATGTTATTGTCGGGTTAATCGGTCCTTGGGGGAAACCTGAGAAGGCTTCTTCAGGAATTTTCAGTTGGACTCTGCTGCTTTCTCCTGTCCCTGGGAGTGAATACGAGACCATAGCTGTTTCCATGGGGGAACAAAGTGTAGGTATTTCTGGTGTACCTGTTCCTTTTGGCTTGAAGAAATCTTGCAGAAGTTTCAAAGCACCTAATGCAATAGTGCTTTGAAACCACTGAGCACCTAACGCAATGGTGCTCAACCTTTTTAGCTTGTTGGGCTAGTTCGGCCATCCATCTGCAGGCTTGATCCAGCTGGTCTCTCCAGTCCAGCCCCTGGGTGGGCACAGCATGGACTGCCGCATGGGTTGGAGGGGACAGGCCTGTTTCACTGCAGCCCTGCACGGCTTGACTCGGCTCCATGGAGGGGAAGGGGATGTGGCCTGCATGGGAGTGGGGCGGGAAAGGGAGATATGGCGAGGCCCCAACTGAGCCCCACAGGGGAAGGAGGTGGGTCCTGTAAAAAATTTATCAATATAGATATTCATAGCGCAAAGATGACACCTGAATGCTGAACTAACAAGCACGCTCCAAACACTGCTGTCTGCTTTAACACACAGGTGTGTTGTACAGTCGTGCAATTATTTGCCAGTCCTATTGGCATTCTCTCCAAAAGTTTGTAGGCCTTTTCAAGCTGTTTGTCCAAGCAGTTGAGACAAAACAGCAGTTGGTGATCCTGAGATTTCCAGCCCTTAAGGAGTTTAGTGAAGTGTGGCTTGGACGTGCTCTCTGCACTCTTTTCCCTGTTCAGCACCCACCTGTATTGTAGACAAAAGCTTATTTCACTGAAGAACAAGCACCGTGATGAATCTAGGTGTGATTGATGATGACACGGATGATGATAAATGACCACGCTGGAGTTGCCGACACTGGCTGTGCTTGGATTTTGTGATTATTGCTCATGATGATGTCCTATATCTGCAGTGCACCTTTCTTTAATTTTAATCCCGTGCAGACAGGGGACCTCTCTTGCCCCCCCCCCCCCCCCCCC